TCTGCACTCTTTTTAGATGGTATAAGTTGGCCCTGAGATTAAGCAACACGATAGGAACTCCCAGCCATCATTTCTCTATTACCAGAACCACCTACAGTGCTCCGCAATCTCTTTTTCCTTGGCATCATCTGGCTTTATCTTTTCAGTGGCTGGCATATGCAAATCTTCCAAATTTAACTTGCTCTAAGATGCAGGACAAGAGGGGGTGAATCCAAGCAATACTGTTGATGGCAAGATGTCCAGCAAAGCCCTCCAGGGCTAGAGTGTGCCAAAGATAGATGCGCTCAGGGAGGGGGACCAAAAGGGACCTCAGACCTCTGGCTACAAGTCAAAAGTCTGTGCCTCTCACAATCATCCCATGGATTCCCAGGGATCGACAGGGCCTACAGTCAGTAAAAGGAACTGACAGAGGAACCAAGAGAAGGATTCTTACCCAAGTTTAGTTTAGAATGTGCAGTGGGGGAGCCTGGGTGGGAACAGTGCACGTCTTGGCTGCCCACATTGGTCAGTCACGAGAACACCAGTAAAGTGCCGAAGGAGCTTGTGGTTGTGTGAGTCCTTCCTTTTTGCTTCTCCATGTCACTTCAAGATCCTAAAAGGCCACGGCTACTAAAGAGGGTTGCTGGTACACTCATGCTTATCTGTGAGTCTTGGGAGAAAAGTCTCTCGAATCCTGTCCTGCTCAAAAATTGGAAATCTCCTGCCATTCTGGAGTGCTTCAAACCAGACTCAGGCCATAAATCTTCTTATAGATGGTTCCTCTTCCAGACAGAGCAAAATGGAAGATTGGCGTAACTATTTCAGAAATGTAAACCTCCACAAACGACTCAACCCCCAAAAGACTACTCAGGCAGAGACACTTTTTTCACTCCTAAATAATTAGAAAATTGCTTCAAATCCCCATTTCACTTTCCCTCAGAGATATGTGCACCTTTTGTTCCGGATTTGGGGGAGGGAGGGTCAGTCTTCTCACAAAACTGAGTTGTTCCCTCATCCCCAGACACCGCCTGCATCCTTCCTCCTCTTCCTCACACTCAACAGAGTACAAGACATGCAGTTTACTTTTCCAGTCTACCAGGAAGATATTCCGCGGCTCCCTACAGAAGGTGGGAGGGGAGGTAACAGTAACCCAGTACTGACGATGTGCCAAGCGCTGTGCTGGTACCTTTTCTCCTTTACCTCACTAGATACCACAACACAGAAGTAGGACTCACTGTCCCATTTTACAGAAGAGGAAAGTGAGCTACCAAGGTCCAGCGGCCCCGAGCTCCCCAGAGGGTTAGAGCCAGGTGGTGGTCTGAGGCTGCCGGTGCTGGGGTGTAAAGAGAATCTTCCTGGATGGCTCACTACTTGTTTTGCGATTTTCTAAAATTCACTTAAACTCCCTGTTGGAGCTATTAATATTATCAGTTCTCCTAAATTGGCACAATCTTGTCTGTTCATCCTCTCCCTGTTTCCTGTTCCCTTGTCCTGTGGTGCTGCTGAATTAGATAATGTCTACAAAGCTCTCCGAGTTCCTTAAAGGGAAGTTTTGATAAACACGAGTTATTAACCTTCAAAGCACCCGGAGTTTTGAATGAAGAAGTTATAAAAATTATCATAAAGTCCTGCTGGGGTTTGATAATGAACAGAAGCTTTACTGAATCTTCAAACACTTCCTTTTCTTCCCAAGAGCAAAAGTGAACCCCTCCAGCTAGAACGGGCACTGATTCCAACACTAGTCCTTGGTTCTTCTCTCTTCAGATGTAAGGGAAGGTCAAGTGCCTCTTTCCAGAGCCTTCTGCAGTGGCTTCATGGAGATTCTGAGCAGCAGGTGCCGAAGGCTTCAGAACAACACAGCTCCATCATTCTCTGGCTCTGACTCCCCAGGAGCAGTCGAAATGATGCTGTGACAGTGCCTGGTGGGAGAGAAGATGCCACCACTGAGAAGTCAAGACCCAGAAATTCAGTATTCAAAAGGTGTCTCATTCCTCACCACTCCGGCTCTCCTCACACTGACACTGTAATTATCATGGATCAGAGGAGGACCTAGCTTTGTCCACCCAAGCCACCCAGGCAAGCGAGAATCAACCTGTGCCTCTCCTCTGAGACTGTGCTGTGAGGGGGAGATCAAGCAAAGAAGGGAGGAGGGAGAGCTCATGGAGACACCCCACCTCCTCTGCTGGGTCTAGACAGTACAGCTGTTCCAGATTATTCAAATGCTGAGTCCGGAGCAGGAATGGAGGGAAGGGTGCAAGGCTCAATGGCAAAGCCGTCATCCTACTATCAATGACATCCTACCACATTCCGTATTTTAGCCTTCAGCTTTGCCCTGGGTTCACAATGCACCAACATGGACACTGGTTATTGGACATCTCCATGTGCAGCCCACTGCTCAGGAATGCAGTGGCTACAGAAGAGCCTGACTACCTCCCCAACTTTCAAGGTTCTGTCAAGCCAGCCAAGATAATAAACTTGAGCTGAGGGTGTGGAGAGGGCACCTAATCATCACATCAGACTTGACAGATCTGACTCACCTGTACGATCTGCCAAAAATCTTATTTGCATAAAACCTATCTGCCCTCCTAGGACCAATGGCAAAGGGTAATTTTAGGGATTGGTATATGAACTCTAGAACTCCAGGACTGAGACTGTTGAAAAAAGAAAAAGAACCAAGACGTCTCCTGTCTTTGGAAGAAATATAAACAGGAGAAGGGACTTGTCTAGAGAGAGAGGAATCTGAATTGAGAGGCCTGGGCTTCTTCCTGAAACACTGGCTTGAGGTTGGCAGAGGTGACCATTTTTGAGGGCCGTATTTATAAATGTTCCCTCACCCCGGACGACTTGGCCCAAGTTCCTTGGGATAGAGAAAGCTATAAGCCTAACTATCCAAGGCTTTCCATTTAGAAGCTACAACAGTTAAGGGGCACAAACTCTTTACCAATCATAGTCCAATGAGGCCTTCAAGTGTCCCCACCGAATAGGTTCCCCAGGCCCTGTCACGGAGATCTGCACCCACAGTAGCTACAGGAAAGTTTTACTGGTCTCCAATATAAGTGCTGGTGCTTTAGAGACAGAAGGGGTTGGAGACCCAAGTCATTCTATCTGGGAAAGCCTCAGAGTCAAAGATCATGGTTGCTAAGCTGTATGTCGTGCAAACATGACTGTGCCATGTGGCTTCAAACGCAAATAATTTATTTTCATTACAATTATGATTATTATTCATCCTTGATGGTGCATGCTAAAAACTAAGAATTTAGGTTGGAATCACACCAATGTGGGTACAAATACTTATGTGCCTTGAGCAAGGTGCTTACCCTCAGTTTCCTCATTGGAAAAATAGGGATAGTGATAGCACCAACTTCATAGTAACATTGCAAGGTTTGCCTTTGTTAATTGCATGTAAATCACCCAGCATGGTGCCTGGCACATGGTGAGCCCTCAATAAAGGATAGGAGCTCTAATTAGTGACTAAGTAATAAGCAAGACAATACTAACAGTATGAAAGGAATCTGGAGGAAGGAGAAAGATAGTAGCTGAGAAAGTTCCCAGGTGAGGGCAGCTTTAACAGGTAAGAAGAAAAGGAGAACCAAAAGTCAGAAAATGTGGTCACCAGGCTATGTGAAGGTGAGCCAAGCCAGAATAGAGAGGTTTAAGAGGCCGGAGAAATGAAGCTGCCTTGCAAAAAGGACTTTGAACTTCAAGAGTTAGACCAGGTTCAGCAGGCCATGGGAGGCCCCTGCTGATGTCCAGGCTTTGGGCCACCTATACTCACCAATGGACAGTGATGCACATCCTAGGATGGAAGGGCTCACCTCTGTGGCACCACCCCTCCAGCCTCTCTTTGGCTCTCCTGACAGTGGGTAGAACCCTCAGAACTCTGTGCTACCCAAGGTCTGACTCACCCAGGGACAGAAGGGCTCCCCCACCCTCCAGAAGGCTGTGCAGGTTCTAAGGCCAGAGCTCCCAGCAGGAATCTCAGAGATCCAAAAACCCTCAAGTCATTTCGTGACCCAAAAATAATTGCCAAATTGCCTTTTCTAAAACACCAGCCCAGAGAGTGGGCCATGCATCTTCTCCATTAACTACACAGCTCACCTTGAAACCCCACTCCCGGAGAAGCAGCCCATTTTTCTCCACCTCCAATAAAGAAAGCCTCCACATATTAAGAGAAATGTCCTGCTGTGGAGGATGCTCGGGAGGGGGCCGCCTTGATTAAACCAGGTTGTTCTGCCAAGAAGTCTTGAATATGCTCTCTTGGTTTGGGGCTGTCAGTGCAGCATGGAGGCAGCAGGCAACATGAATTGCCTTTTATCTAATTGGAAAACTCCCACCGAGTTGAGAAGTACTTGTTTAGACAGGCAGATCAATAAAAGAAATGGGGAGTGGATGGCCATGGAGATGTTATGGAGACAAGCTGGTCCTCTATACATCTGCTTAATAAAGATTAACTCATCCTGGTTGTGGTACAAATCCAGAACACCCTCTTGGCTCAAGACTGCAGCAAGTTCCATTTGTTTTCCATGAGCAGACATTTCTCAGGAGCGATGGGCAAGAGACCCTTCCCTTGTCTTCTCTTTATCTGGATTCAAAAGAGCTCTGGTGGAGGGGAGGTGGGAGGCAGAAAGAGGGTCCCTAGTAATTTGACTAGGATATCTCTAGCATCTTTCCAAAATGACATTCCTTGACTCAGACTAAAGTGGAATATAACAAAAAGCAGAGATCCACAGAAAAGGGATAGAAAAAAGAAAAGAGAGACAAGTGCAGAGTGCTATCAGGCTCCCTTGCCATTTCATATCACTTTAGTGCGTAGAAGTCATGCTGCTTCATGAGCTTCTGTTTTAAGAACTCCCCAGTGGAAACCCTCTTTTCTCCCTATCTCTCTTAGTCATCACTGAGTCAGGGGCTCTAACATTTCTTCCTTATTCCCACATGGCCACTCTCATAACCTTATCCATCTCTGTCCTTGCTGTTTTCCCCACTCCCTCCCCCACCCCCATCCTATATAAGGAGGTTTGAACTGCTGAGCCCATCTCTCACTTCAAACACAAGCTTTTGTTCCAGGCCACAGCATCGAACTGATTCCCTTCAAAAGGAAAAATGTTCTATAGCTGAAGGTCCAGAAATAGAAGTGGTGTGTGTGTATATATATACACACGCACGTACGTGCACTGGGCTGCAGGTATTTCATTTACACTGGGGAAATTTTGAGAAAGCTGGGAACCCTTCCTTTGATTCATGTGCCCCTCCTTTGACTCCTGCAGAAGTTCTTGTCTGGGCAAGGACTGTGGGGGGGAACCTGCTGACACTCAGCTTTAATAAAGGCCTTTTCTTTCGCACAGTCCTACAGCGAAGGCACAGGCTCATACCTGGGCCATGGGTCGGTTGCCATGGCAATGACTGTGGAGTCACAAATAAGGCAGTATTATGTTCTCTCAGCAAGACCAGATGAGAGCTGGAAGCTAGAGAGAGAAAAAGGAAGAGGGAGACAGAGCTAGGGAGAGAGAGAGAATAGAAATATCTTCTATCAATAGCGATGCAGAAAGGAAACACAAATAAAGCGATGGGGTGCTGTTTGGGAGAAAGCAGGTTTGAGACAGGGTAAGGCAAGAGTAGAGGAAATGGCATTATTTCCTTTGAGGGAGATCTTTCATTTTCAGAGGAAAAGAGGGAAACCCATTCCAAAAGAGCCCCATGTACCTCCCTCTCTTCTACTTGCTTCTTTCTCTCCTTCCTCACTGGGTAACCATGCAAAAAGCCTGCAAAAGAAGGGTTGGGAGGAGACAAGATGGAACAGAAGGCAAAAGGGAGTAGGAGGTGAGTCAAGCCATTTCTCTTTTCCTCTCTGCCCCAAGACACTGGGAGCCCTGCTCTGATTCGGCAGAAAACTCGTAGCCTCTTGGTCCATGGCTCTCTTATAAGTTTCACACCAAAATTCCACTCTTCCAGAAAATCATAAGTGCTCCAGGATCTCAGCAGCCTTATTAAGATTTTTCTCTTGAGTCGAGTGCCTCTAGAGGGAGAGTGGCCACATTGTCTACCTAAGGTCACTTTTTCATTCAAAGCTTCATTGGTTTCCTCACCGTTGACAAAAGTCTAAGAACGAAGACATAGATTCAGACTCAATAAGCAAATAAAAAGCACCAAGCTTTTTTCAGCTAAGTCATGAGACTTTATATAAGACAAAGAACTTTAGAATTCTGCCTTTTCCACACTTTTTTTTAAAATGGGTGTGCATATATAATTTCAACGAGCACAATGCTTTTGGACAACATATAAAAAGTTTCCTATGATCTCTCAATCCATTAAGATAACCAGATTTTCAAAATTATTACAATCTCACATGCTTTCTCTGAGTTTCCTTTCTTTAGGGTGTCCACCACAGCTAGCTCTGCCTTAGTCTAGAGTCTGGACAAATCGAGCAGCTTCTTCTGCAATATGGTTTGAGTAGCACTAAAAGTCTTGCCAACCTAAAATTTTCTCCCCCATCAACTAACATCAGTGCCTAAAGCCCCACATTAATGTTACCCCTCTTTCTGCCTTCAAAAGATCTGTCTATTCAAAAACAAAGATATTAAGACAATCTGCCCTAACTTTTCAGTCTGAATGTGTTTTCAGATTAGCTGAGGAAGTGGGACTAGGGATGAATAAATTCTGATGCATCAAGTGGGGAGCAGGATACTCACATCCATCTCCTTGACAGAGGGAAATGTTTGACGTGGAATCCAAACACATGATTCATTGACCAGCCAACAGGCAGTCACCACTGCCTGTTTGAGGTGTTTGAGGGAAAGAGGAAGAGAAAACAATCAGGATGAATGCACACCATCATTGCCGCAGCTTTTCAGCCTTGAACTCCTGTCTGAAAACATTACCTTTGTGAACTGAGGGAGACCACATGTCCCCATGTCACTCAAAGAGTTCCTTCAAGGCCCTGAATGAAGGTTCTTGGTTGGTCCATCTTAATCTTCAACCACCAAGTAACCTTGACCTTGGAAGACAAAGTCAAGGAAATGATACTATTTCTCCCTAAGGCATAAAGCTGAGCACTACTGGGTCTTCCCAGGATGAGACCAGGAGCAGCTTCAGACTCTCCTCCCAGCATCATCAACACAGAATCACCAAGTTGCCAAACAGGTGAAAGAGCTTGAAGCTCTTTGCTTATCTCAATGAAGATTCTCTGACTTGGTACAATGGTTCCACAATACCTATGGTCCCCATCCAAATCTGTGTTTCTTTCCCTCTACTGGGGAGTAGGAGATGGAAGGGTGAGCCTTAAGCTAACTCAAGAGGCCAGTTGCAGAGTCTGCTGGAGCCTCCCAGGCAGGCAGACAGCAGCAAGCCTAACCAAGTCCTCCCCAGGTCCTGGAGCAATGGAAGCATAGAGAAACCACTTTCCTGATTGGGATTAGTAATAATTTGTTTAATCAAAAACTTAGCTAAAGCAGGGAATCATAAAAAAAAAAAAAAACAGTGATTCATAAACCCTAAATAGCTTATGATAACTTAAAATATAAACATGCTTTTCTCTGCTAACTTTTTATGTAGGACCAAGATGTTTTCTTCAAATATTAGAACGTTGATAAAACTTCTCTGTCATCTTCCTTCAAAGGTCACATTCATAACCATCAGCTACAATTTCCAGTTTCCATTTCTTTAAAATAAAGAGAAAATTTAAGGACAATTATGAGGTAATCTGAGTGCAAAATCCTTCCATATTTTTGTATTTCTCTGCAATCATTTATGGTTGTCTCACCCACACCTAATTCAACAGTAATTTTTTAGCAACTCACATTTATTGAGTCTTTTCAAAGCATGGAATTTTGTTTTCAAAGAAATAGCTCTCTTTTCATACTCAATGTTCATTGGCTTACATAATATTTAATTAAATTATACAATTACATCAGTTAATGTCATGAATTGGCTTAGTAGAGGCTGGTTAAGAGAAGTTCAACTACTATTTTTTCTCTGAAGGCAAACTCTCAACCTAGGAAGTTTGTCTAGAATTGACCTTTAAGGCAAATCATATTTTAAATATCAGAGATTCATTATCATAAATTGAGAACTGTTTGTGTAACAAATAAGAAAATAGTTTCTAGGGATATAAAAACAATTGAGGTTCTGTCCGGCATGACAGATAAAAGAGGTCACCAAATATTCTCCCTCAAAGCAACTAAAATACTGGACAATATTACCAAAACAGCTATCTCAGGACCCTGGCAATCCACCGAAGGCATACAACAAACTGAGAAGATGTATTCACAAAAACTACTGACTTTGGATAAGAACAGTGGGAATCTGCAGCGTATTTGCCTGGAGCTGATCCCATCAACCTCCTGTCACCATCTCAGATCAGTTAGCACAGTAGTTCTAACAGGTGAAGCAGGCTGCGTATTACCAACGGCTTCCCTGCCAGACAGGGATGACTTGATTGGGAGCTAAAGGTGAAACTCTGGTACTTAGTGAAGGATAAGCAGCAACCTCAGTGGTGAGCAAATGAGGAAGTCCGGTCATTACAACAGTCTGAGGTAGCGGTCCTATTTGGGGCGAACATTGAACTAGAGAACTTAGCCAGAAATGTAATAGGAAAATACAAGAAATGAGACACTCATAGAGACATCTGATAATCTTTCCACATATTTCTGGCTGACCTCGAGTTGGCATGCATGTGCAGGAGAGACCAGAGAGAGGCTTATGAAAAGTAAAAGCCATGGCAGACTTTAAATTGTCTGAACTTTGGATGCATTCTGAAAACAAAACACGCATCATCATCCTTGGGTGGAAGTCTTACTGGCTAAGGGTGCATTAATACAACTTGTGAAGAATCAGTGGCTGGCCACTAAGCTATGCAGACACAAGGACAAACCCCAGGAAACCAGGCTTAAAAATAAAAACAAGAATATATATATATATATATGTGCAAAGACATCAGCAGCCACATGCCACAAAGGAGACAGATTTCATAGGAATGTTCTAAACAAACAAAAACCCCAGGGGGGAACATTCAGAATCCAGATTTGCTACAATATATTATCTAAAACTTCAAGTTTTCAACAAAAAAATTATGAGACATACAAAGAAATAGAAAAATGTGACCCATATGCAGGAAAATAGCAGACAATAGAAACTATCTCTAAATGCCCCTGGATGTTGGATTTAGCAGACAAAAATTGTGAAGTAGTTATCATAAGTATATTCAAAAATGAAAAAATGAAAGGAAATTAGGTTTAAAGAATTAAAGAAAAATATGACAAGAATAATCCAAAAATAGAGAACCACGATAAGTAGATAGAAAATATAAAAAAGCACATAAAAATTGTGGAGGTAAAAAGTACAATAACAAAAATAGAAAATTCACTAGAAGGGTGAATAGCAGATATGAGATGGAAGAAAAAAGAATCAATAAACTTGTAGAGAGAATAATGGAAATTATTCAATCTCAAGAAGAGGAAGAAGAAAGATTGAAGAAAAATTAACAGAACCTCAAAGACCCATGGGACAACATCGAGCATACCAGCATAGGTGTGACAGGAGTTCCTTAAGAAGAAAAGAGAGAATCTCAATAAAATTGGGGAAAAAAAGAAGAAGAAAAAGAGAGAAAGGGGCAGAAAGAAATTTTGATTAAATAATGGCCCAAAACTTCCCAAATTTAATTAAAAATATTAACCTATAGATCCAAGAAACTCAAAAAATTAGGAGAAAATCTTCATGACCTTCAGTTAGGAAATGAGCTCTTAGATATGACACCAAATGCACTCTCATAGAAGAAAAAAATAATAAATTAGACTTTACTAAAATTAAAACCTTTTTCACTTCACAAGATACTGCTAAGCAAATGAAAAGACAGGCTACAGAGTGGGAGAAATAATTACAAAGCATGTATCCAGATATGTAAAGAACTCTCAAACTCAATTACAAGAACACAAACAGCCCAATTTAAAAATTGGGAAAAGATTTGAATACACTTCATGAAAGATATACAAATGACTAATAATCCCATGAAAAGATGATCAATGTTTTTACTCATTAGGGAAATGGAAATTAAATATCACTACACCCCCACTGCAATTTCCATAATCAAAAAAACCCCAAACAATACCAAGGGTTAGTGAAGATGCAGAGAGACTAGAATGCTCCCATGTTGCTGGTGGAGACGTGAAGTGGTACAATCAGTTTGGAAGTTTCTTAAAATGTTAAACATAAACTTACCAAACGACTCAGCAATTCCACTTCTAGGAATCTACCGAAGAAAAATGAAAACATATGTCCACACAAAGACTCGTACACAAAATTTTCATAGCAGCATTATTCACAACAGCTAAAAAACTGAAAGCATTCCAAATACCCACCAACTAGTAAATGAATAAACAAACTGTGATACATCCATACAATGGAATTGCATTCAGAAATAAAAAGAACCAAATTATCGATTCATCCTACAACATGGATAAACCTCAAAATCATTGTGCCCAGTGAACGAAGATCAACACAAAAGATAGAGTATTATATGTTTCCATTTATATAAAATGCCCAGAAAGGACAAATTAACAGAGACAAATACACCAGATAAAGAGGTTGCCTGAGACTGGAGATGGAAAGAGGAATTGACTGCAAACTTGCACAAAGGAATGTTTTAGGGTGAAAATGTTTTAAAATTGGTCTGTGATGAGGGTTGCCCAAACTCTACATTTACTAAAAAGCATTGAATTGTAAACTTCTAATAGGTAACTTCGATGGTATATAAATTATACCTTTAAAAAACTGTTTTAAAAAGTGAAACATGAGATATTTCCCCATCTAATGCGGTAAGGAGAGGAATAGCAATAAGCAAGACCACTGTAAGTTCCGGAGCAGTAATATAACAAAGGGCTCTGAGAACACATAGAAAGGAGGGCCCGGGAGCAAAAAGAGATAGATTAGAAAAGCTTTACCAAAAAAGTGATGTAGGAGCTGAGGCTCTAAAAACACCCCTAGTTTTTAAAAATATTCCATCAAGGGGCTGACCCCGTGGCTAAGTTTGCACACTCTGCTTTGGTGGGCCAGGGTTTGTGGGTTCGGATCCCAGGCAGGGACCTACACACTGCTCGTCAAGCCTTGCTGTGGAGGCAGCCCACATACAAAACAGAGCAAGACTGGCACAGATGTTAGCTCAGGGACAATCTTCTTCAAGCAAAAAGAAGAAGATTGGCAACAGATGTTAGCTCAGGGCTAATCTTCCTCACCAAAAAATTAAAAAATAAAAAATAAAAATATTATATCAAGCTCAAGTTGGGTTTATCCCAGACGTAAAAAGATGGTTCAACATTAGAAAAAACAGCAATGTAAATGATCTCATTAATAGACTAGAAGGGAAAGAATAATATGCAATTGTCTCAGATGATGCAGGAAAAGAATTTGATAAAGTTCACCAACTATTTATGGAAAAATAAATCTTTTAGCAAACCAGAAAAAGAAGAGTATGGGGAATCCAGTGAAATGTCTTTCCTTTAAGATGAAAAAAAGAAAAACAAGTATGTTTACTAACTCTACTATTGTTTAACATAGTACTGGAAGTCAAGAGGGAAAAAAGAAATATGAGATGTTCACATCAGAAAGAAAGAGACACTCATTATTTGTGGTGATATAATCACTGAGAAAAAGCAACAAACTATTAGAAGTAACACAGTTGACCGAGGTTGCTTACAAGACCTTGATCAACTTACAAAAGTCAAAATCATTTCTTTCTAACTCAGTAACAAACTATAAAATATAATAAAAAGTAAGATAACCTTCACATTAGCAACAAAACTTATAAAGTATCTAGGGAGTCTAACAATTCACAACGGAGGAAATTGTTACATTTTAATAAAGGACAAAGAAAAAGAGATACAGAAATGGAGTGGCATTCCACGGTCTTGAGTAGGATCATGTTATCAGCATTTCAATTCTCTACCAAATAATCTACAAATTTCTGTAATCACAATAAAAATCCCACCTGATTTTTTAGGTACTTAGTCATTTTTATCACCTCTATGAAAGAACAGAAGTTCACCAGAAAACTAAGTCAACTTTGAAAAACAAGAAAAAAGACTGAGAACTTACCGGAGCTGTAATTACAAAATACAGTTTAATTTTAGAGCAAAAGTAAACAAATAGAAATCGAGCAGGTGTGTCTCAGGAATACACACACACACACACACATATATATATACACCCAGCATTTAATAAAGGTAACACATAAATCAGTGAGAAAAGGAGAGATTGTTTACCAGGTAGTATTGGGAAAGTTAGCACATTATATTTAGAAAAGAAATCTGGGACTCTATCTAACACCATATACAAAAGTGGATTCCACACAGATAAGTACCTAAATGTGAAAGATAAAATTATAAAGTTAATAGGTGAAAATTAGTCATCTAAAGGTGGATAAGGACCTCTTAAATAAAACCCCAAGTGCACAAACTGCAAGGCCAAAAAAAAATTCACAAATTCGCTTACTTAAAAATTCATTCTTTCTGGTCAACAAAGAATACTATGGATAAAGTTGACAGACAGCAGATTGGGAGAAGAAACTTGTACCACACAAACTGATCAGGGACTAACATATAAAAAATACAGGAAACATTTGCAAATAAGAAGATAGCAATCCCAGTAGGAAAATGGACAAAAATGTGAATAGGTGATTGATAAAAAGGAAACTCTACATACTGCCATTGCAGTGATGCTCAAACTCAATCACGAGAAACTACAAATTAAAACAACAATGAAACATCATTTTACCACAGTTAAGACTGGTAAAAATTAGAAATCTGGATAAATTCTCACAAAAGTCCATAAAATCAGAATTCTTTGCCCTGAAAAGGAGTTGGAGAAAGTTTGGATGTCCATCACTGCAAAAGTGGCGAC